GCCCCACGCCCGCTGCCCCGCCCACACCCAACTTACAACGTTCACGTCTCAATACTGTACACCATTTAAAATCTTCACAAACACCAAGCTAGTTTAGCTGATTTAAAATCAAAAGGTTGTACATAAGACAAATTAATAAAAAGTTGTGTGCAGTAATGAAATGTATATACAATTTTATTTGGATACTTTGGTCCTACGGAGTCGAAGATTTAGATTGACGGATCTGTGATCGCATTTCGCTGTCAAGTATCATCTGAGAATATTGTTAAATGTTATTTAGCGGGCGATCGATTGGTATAGAGCGAGAGCGCAGCTGACTTCCCCCCCCCCTCCTCCCGTCACCCCCGCAGCACCACGTCTCCATCACTCCCCCTCCCACGGCGCGTCAGTTCGCACATCACGATTATTTTACCGCAGTTATCGAGTAAGGAATTTTGATGTCGTAGGCTAAGGTAGCTAGTTATTATTCTTCATGATACTATGTAATTGAGGTACGAAGTGGACACGTCGAGCCGGGATGGGCGACGTCTCATCTCCTCCTTTTTAATTTTAATAGCTAAATGTTGTTGAATTTGTTGATAGAGTGGTTTATTGTAATTACTATAGGTAGTTTAGTGGGTATACAAGAGACGGTTGCCGCCATCGGGCGCTAGGGTTAGACTAAGGTCCGATACTGTGTATTGGGAAATGGCTGTGCGTTGCAAGTGTAAGTCGACATCGGCCGCCGCCCCGCCCCGCCCCGCCGCCCCGAGCGCCCCGCCCCGCCCCGCGCTATCTGTATATAATTGCATAACATTATTTCATTTACGTTATCCTCCTTGCTCATTGTCATCAATTTATTAAAGACTGAGGAATCAACTCGCGCATGACATCGTCACGAACGCGTCCCCAACACTAGGGGAGTATTTGTAATATATAATTGTTTATTATCATTAAATTTAAAAAAAATTGTATCGGTCGGTCGGGGGCGGAGTCGTCGCTGTGGGCGGGGCGGCGGGGCGAAGGGGCGGCGCGGTGCGCGGCGCGCTGTCGCTCAGTCGTTGTCTCACCAACCTTTACACATGTTGAGATTGATATGTTATACTAATTCTATTGAATTGTAACTTGTTGCGTAATATAAGTGTGTAGACAGGCACTGGCTCCCTGCGTTATATGTTGACGACCGATTTGTTGCTACGCGGTTACATTCATTGATTTATTCATATTTTATTATCGATATATTATGTTTTTTTTTTTGTTAACTTTGTTTAACTATAACGGGTCTGCTGATGTTATGTACGAAAATAAATATATTAGTTTATAATTGCAATGTTTCTATTTCTTTGAATTATAAATTCGATACATTTTAGCCAACGTTGATTATTTAGTGATAATGAAATGTCAATAATAATTTTGTTCCAATGTTTGTTTTGCTATGTTTTAAAAGATAAGAGGTAAAATGAAGGTAACATGTCTTAGTGAATAAAGCTCGAAAACCAATTTAAAGGTACCTTGAACATTGTCTATAATTATATTAACAATAAATAAATGCAAAACGAGAGAGTTGTTTTATTTTATTCACCTTTTATACACATATACCATGACTTTAGAGTCTACCAAAATACTGAGTAAGGTATTCGTAAGCCACTTTTTACTCTACTGAGAAGAAAATAATATTTTTTATATCGTATCTATCCTTTACGACAGCCTATAGTCTATATCAATGAACCAATTTTTAAGAGATTTGATTCGATTCATCTTCCCAGTGTCATATGCCATCTGCACAAAACACCCATAGTGCACCTTAAATATAAAAATTCTAACTTACTGAAAAAAAAACTCAATCTCACTGGCCATAACTTTTTTCACATCTCTAAATATCTATTCTTCAACATTATCGAGTACAATCGACAAGTAAGCGATCCATACTGACATCCATGCGTTACATTTAATTTAATTTACTTATAGATGGCGCTATTAAGTGGATTAAAACCTGTCAGTAAGGTTTTTTTATAATAAGATTAGTTTATATTTCTTTATGCCTGTTGTAATTATTTAGGCTGCAAAATGATAGGTATATCATCAATAATGTTGAAATAAAACAATATTGATTAATTAAAAAATATATATTAATGCCTGCAGTGTAAATACTGAAAATTAGTTATCGAGATTCATACAAAAATACATCAATCTGGACGGAATGCAAACTTGTAAATAATAAAAATAAAATCAAAACAAACAAACACAATCACTTACAAAATACACATGGAATGTTTCGTAAAAATTGATATTACAATACTTTTGTAAATTATATAACCTAAAAACATTATTTACTGTAAAAATAAATTACATATAATGTAAAGTAACACGTTATATCCAATTGTACATAAGGTGTATCTAAAAACTAGAGGCATGAGATTTAAGTACATAATATCAATAATTTCAAACAGCATTTGCCAAAGCAATAGCTTTTGCTTACATAATACTATATATGTATTGCATAATATTATTGACTAAGCATTAATTTGTTTTTACAATTTTATTTATATTTTTCTGTAATTTTTTTTTATTTTCTTATGGCTGAAAATTCAGAAATTTTTATTAATTCATGAAAGCATGATAATTAACTCACCCTTAACTTAGGGTAGGCTCTGAGCCCCTCGGTGGGGACATATAGTGAGCTGATGATGATGATGATAATTAGCTGTCATTTTAACAATATGCTATTTATATTAAAGCCTAAGAATGAAGCAGTTCTTTTCACAAACAATAAGTTCATTTATAAGACCCATTAATAAGTTTCCGAGACCAAGATCCCTACTTTACACAAATTGTCATCTCTACTTTGTCAAAGATAATGAAAGGAATGACATATTTAGAGATTTTGAGTCTCAGAAACCTTACGCAACTCTTCATTGCAGAGTTTGTACTAAGAATAAAGGTAACATTATATTACCCAGGATCATTTAATCATAGCATCAAGGCATCTAATACAATTTGGCATATGCATATATGAAAGTGAAATCTTTGGGCATCACAATACATAATAAATCTTATATAATTACATAAATATCATATGTTATTACTGGATATCTTATATACTTTAAATTACATTACATTTATTGCTGCATATTAGTCTTTTATAGTATTTTTACTTCTCTTACTGTTTTCACTTCAGACTTACAAGTAACAGAATATGTTACCCCTCTCTTTCACTCCAAAAAAACAAAGATTTTCTTTTTATGCATCTGTTTTAACTATCAATCATAAATGTAAATATACAGAATTAAAACATTGGTTTTTAAAAATTACATTAAAAATCTTAAAACATACTATATCTATGTAAAGGGTAATACAATCGAGTCAAATTATATAAACAGATTATAAAAAATTAACTGACTTTTTGGAGTATCATTAATATTGCATAATTTTGTGCAAGCAAACTACATTAAAAAAAATATTAAACAATTTCATACTGTGGCACGTATGGTTCGTATTCAAATCCATTGTAATGAGTAAAACTAAGACTACTCATACCTGGTACGTCAGTAAATGATGTAAGTTCATTTAGCAGGGACGTAAACGCTGGTCTTTCATCAGGATCAACCTGCCAACATTGTAAACACATCTGAAAGAGTTCATCGCTAACATACGAAGGTTGAGATGGACGCATACCGCGTAACACTCTCGACGCAACATCCTTATTTACAGTATTAGGATAAGGTGTAGCACCTATAGTTAACGCTTCCCACATTAAACATCCAAATGACCATATATCTGCTTTCGGATTGAATCTTGTCTGTCGTAGCATTTCATGTGACATCCACCTCGTGTAATCTGGCGTTTCATGAAGTGGACGAATGTGAGACAGACCGAAACCGGCAACTTTCGCCACACCACTGTTACTTATAATAATATTCCTACAACTCAATTTTTTGTGATAAATTTTCTTTAAGTGCAGATACTCCATTCCAGATGCTACATCAACACACATTTGTATAACTTTATTCTCAGTTATAAGACAAAATTTGTTGTTCTGCAGATCTCTCTGGCGACATTGTAGAAGCATTTCCTTAAATGTCTGCTTATAATCTTGTAGGACAACAAATAACGTTGTATTTGTCTCGCAAATACCAAGAAGAGATATCACATTTTGATGTTCACTGGACTTTATTAAAACATCTAACTCCTGTAACATTAGACGCCTGTCTGTCTTCTCCAATTCTCTATCAGGTATTACCTGGACTAGACCAGGAGTGAGGGCTCCGTGTTGCTGGACACTGCCTTTTGTAAATTTTCCATAACTACCAACACCAACAACACATGATATATTAATATCAATGAGATTTCTAGGTATATTCCACAGTTTTCGTTTCAAGTTACCGTAATAATCAACTCTTTCATCTTCATCTTGTAAAAACCCAGAGTTTTCAATCTCAATACAAGGTTCACTCAAACTCAACGGCATCGATTGTGAACCTCTTTGCATTCTAGCTATTTGAATCTTTTTACGTAGAATTATGAGTAGGCCGATTCCAATCAGTATTAGCACAACTCCGATAGCTATTGCTGCACCAAGTGCCACTACCAATGGTGAATATTCTTCAGGTTCATTAATATTAAGAATTATCTTTTTTGTAGATTCTGCATATCTTACTTTTCTGACATGATTCTTTTCACTAACCACACCCAGTGACACCTCAATATCATATGTCAGTGGTAATGGGGCATTATAAAAGCCATTGTAAGTGCTACGATCACCTATTATAAAATCATTTTTGATGTCATCTGTATCCAATTCAGCTGTTATATAATATGGATATCCTTGTTCATTTGCATATGTATAATTTCCAAGATTTTCAACAATAAACCCTTGTTGATATAATTCTATAGATACTACTATTCTGTACATAGATACTGGCCCATTCACATTTCTTGCTTCAGGTATTTGTACCACCATTCTGTCTCCACGTCTGTCTTTTATAATAATATCTGGTGGACTCGGGTTTGGTGTACCAATTACCGTTTCAATTCTAATCGTCACATTTGGACCCTCATCTTCATAATTTCTTGCTGCTATACTAATATTATAAGTTGACCCGGGCTGCAGATTTAATAGTTCAGAATTCAAAGTAGTATTACTTACTCTCCATTCTAAAGGTATCAAGTTGAAATCTGCAAATGTTTCTATGATTATTGCACGGATAATGTAACCTGTAATCTTTGAGTAAGCTTGCGGTGGACTCCAACTGACTCGTACTGTTGTCTCAGTTACATTCACCATGTTAAAAGAGGCAGGTGGTCCCGGCGCTGAAACTTCTGTATCATACACGCTCGCGGCATCAGCACCGCCGCACTTTTGCGTAGAATTTTTTGGGCAAGGAATATCGCATGATTCTGATGGTAGCTCGAATTGCCCCGGTGAATTGCCACAGAAACATGTCGAATCGTTTCCCAAGAGAGCATATTTGTAATATAATTCTTCGCAAACTTCCAAACAAACGTCGGCCGACTGACCGCTGTGTGTGTTCAATGCATCGTTGGCGTTGAATTTATAACATCCAATGTAATCACCACGTTCTGCTTTTACTAAATTAACATGATAAAGGAATACCACTACGGTTACCAGCCACCAATTGCCCATTGTATATTCTCGACATTGACTCATGTACTGCAATTTGACGTTAACGCCTTAACGCCCTTTATATAAAACACTTTTCTCTTCTATGGAATACTTTATAAACACCTTAAAAATAGTTATTCTCACTGTCATGGTTACACGTTTTTGGTCATCTTTATCTTAGTAAAGAGCAGAAATCAATAATATTCATAAATTCACGATGCGGAACTGCATTATTGTTTACTACACAAAGATTAAATACAAATGACAAACCGACCCGTACGTCGCGGCGTCGTTTTATTTATATTGTATTGCAATTATTGGATTTGGTTTATTAGACTATGTTATTTTATTGATACGGAAATGCGAGGAAATACGGAATTGAGGAAGCAGAACTGCGAACGTTATTTTGACATTTAACATAAAAAATATGATTAACAACATGGTCTTTATCAATAAAGTTCAATCAATTTTATTTTATATTTTTGTTACTTTAGTGTACAAAGTAAACATTGACAATAAAACAACTAAGAAGATATTTTGAAGTTAACCTGTTCCAACATTTTATTTTACCTTTTTTCTATAAATCGTAATTTTCCAATCATTATTTATTCTGTGTAATTCAAATGTTTTTTTTATCTTATCTGTGTACTAATCGTCGTTGATTGGTTGATGATGCTGAGTTGTTTGTTTGTATGACAGTTATTTAAAAGTTACAAACGGTAGATTGTTGAAATTAAACAACGGACAGATTAATTCAAAAACTAATAAGAATTGTTGCTTTAGTTAAATTTAAAAGACATCAATGCACTGTAAGTATTGATAAGAAATTTATGGTACATCAAAAATATGGATCGAAGTGTAAAAAGTGAGAGGAAAACAAGAAGTATGCGCCTCAAGGAGAATTGCGAAGAAGTACCTAAAAGTTTAATTAAAAAGGGTAACTATGTGCGTAATCCTGAATTAGAAACAAACAATGATTTTGACGAAGAAGTGCCTAAGTCTACTCGTAAGCTAAGACGACATACGCTCAAAGAACAAAACAGAGCAAATTCCGAAGATGATATTCCAGTAAAAAAACATAAAAAATCAAGCAGGACTAAAAGAAATCATACAGAAACCTTTGATAACCTGGATACAGGGGATCAGCATGACGTTGAAATTCCGGAAGTAAAGCATAAGGTGAAGAAAAGCAAAAAGAAAAAACAGGATGTTATGGTTGAAGATGTAGAGAACGTTGATGATATAAAAGACGTGCCAAAGACAAAAAGGAAGTCTAAAAGGAGAAAGAAGCAATCAAGTGAAGCAAGTCCTATAAAAATTGAAGAAAATAATGAAGAAAAAAATGAAATATTTGTAAAAGAAGACCTGCTGAATGTAAGCAATGCATCAAATGAATCTTATCACAGTGCTGCTGGCAGCATTCACAGCGAGAAATTACTTGAAGTCAATGGCACAGTTACAGAATCTGAATCTGCAGTCATAAATAGATCAAGAAAGAAATCAACACCAAAATCATCTAAAAAGAACAACATTTACAAGTATTCTGTTAAAAATGAGATAGTTATCAACTCATTTGAAAAAGAACCTTTGAAATCTGAATCAAATGCCTCTAAAACTTCTGAAAGTTTCAATAAATCTATGGAAAATAAAAATCATAGTAATACATCTAAAATAAAACTTGATGATACTTTTGAAAAAACAAATTTAAATAACAGCAATTGTTCAAAAGTGAAACTTGATGATACTTGGGAAAAAATAAATTCAAATGAAAACAGTTGTTCTAAAATAAAACTTGATACTTATGATAAGCCAATATCAAATGAAAACAATTGTTCAAAAATAAAACTTAATGATACTTTTGAAAAACCAAACTTAAATGAAAACAATTGTTCTAAAACAAAACTTAATGATACTTTTGAAAAAACAAATTTAAATAACAACAATTGTTCAAAAGTGAAACTTGATGATACTTATGAAAAATCAAACTCAAATACAAACAATTGTTCTAAAACAAAACTTAATGATACTTTTGAAAAAACAATTTCAAATGAAAAAAATTCTTCTAAAACAAAACTTAATGATACTTTTGAAAAATCAAACTCAAATACAAACAATTCTTCTAAAACAAAACTTAATGATACTTTTGAAAAAACAATTTCAAATGAAATCAATTGTTCAAAAATAAAACTGAATGATACTTATGAAAAGACAAATTCAAATGGAAACAATTGTTCTAAAATAAAACTTGATGATACTTATGAAAAACCAAACTTAAATGAAAAAAATTCTTCTAAAGTAAAACTTGATGATACTTATGAAAAACCAAACTTAAATGAAAACAATTGTTCAAAAATAAAACTTAATGATACTTTTGAAAAGACAAATTCAAATGTTTCTATTAATATTGAAAACTGCAATAATCAGTCCATGAACAAACGAAGATCATCCAGCATTTTGTTGTTAGATGCATCTAATTCAATGACAAACTTAAACAACACATTTGATAAATCTGATAGACCTAATGAGAACAAATCACTAGATGCGACATTGGAAAAACAAAAACTAAATGGTACTTATGACTTTGATGAGAAAAATGCAAGCTTAAAATCTGACGGTAACAAAACAATTGACAACGCTAACAATTCACATATCAGTATTAACAGTGACGATTCTAAAACAGAAAATTTAATAAACATTACCGCAGAGTTAGTGGAGAGTAGCAATGATGAAATATCTTTTAAAAATTCCCCACCGAAAACAGGAACTCAAAATTTAGAACTACCACTAACACCTTTTAAACGGGAAGGTACTTATACTAAAGAGAGTCCACCGTACGTTGAACAAGAGCCTGACACAATATCCATAGATTCCGGAAACACTGGAAGTGATAATTCATGTAGGACTCCGGATAGACGTAAAACATTACAGTCACCAGGGTGCACACCATTTGTGATGATAAAGGAGAAAAAGACAGTTTTTAATGTAACACGTTCTATTGAAAAGTCATTACGGAGGTCTACATCCATGGAGCCAGCACCCAGGGCCACCAAGGTGATGTTCTGTAGCCCCACGAACCAGGCCACCATCGGCTCACAGATTAAACGGAAGGTGATCAAATCTAACATAAAAGGATCAAATAAAAGTTTTATTTTTGATAGTAGTGGTAAGTGTTATTTTACCTTTTTAATAAATCACATTTGAGTCAGTCAAATCTTATCTTGCTAATATTATATAAGCGAGTTTGATGGATAGATGGATGTTTGTTTGAAGGTATCTTGAGAATGGCTTAATGGATCTCAATGAAATTTGGCATACATATAGAACATAGCCTGGAAGAACACATAGGCTACTAATTGTGTGTTTTTTTTATTCTGCGTAGACGGAGTCGCGGGCGACTGCTTGTTATTTATATTTTTGCATTTTATTTGAAGAAATATTGTCCTTTATCCATTTTACTTATAGTCTTGTTTGCTTTAAAACAAATCTAGGAATACTTCTGCCTCTCTTGTGATGGATACAGCTGTACTCAGTCATTTTAAATCTACACAATGCTTTAATGTCTGAGAGTTAGTATTTAGAATGTGGGTAATACACTATGCTGTCTGTTCATCCAGTGTCGGAGGTCAGTCGTTCAGGTCGTAAGCGGTCGTACACACAGAATGATGTAGATGAGGTGCGCAGTAAGAGATCTAAACTGGAGGAGGAGAAGAAATCAGTGGAGAGACTCTCACGTCCCCGGACATTGAGTGCTACAGGTAAAATAAAATACAATAGTAATTTTTTAATTAATAATTTTACTATCCAAAATCCTTAACAATATTTTTTCACATAGAAGCATGTCTGATTTTCACATCTTGTGCTCACAAAAGTTTTCAAGACTTTCATTTACAGTGTAACTTAAAAGTATAAAAAAAAATTACCTAAAATGTTTATTTATTTTTTATCTTATAGACTATTACTATTTTTTTCTAATTCTTACATCTATGCAACACTTTTTCTAATTACTAAACATTTATAATTTACAGTGAAAACCAGCGAAGCTTCAACACCAACAAAGAAACCAATAGTGTCAAAGACAAAGCTAGAGAGTAAAGTTACAAGGACAAAGTTGCCAAACTTTACTGCATTACATCAGAAGCAGTTTGATAAGATGGAGTCACTGGATCAGTGCCAGGAGAGGAAGGCAAAGCGCGCCAGGCAGTTGCTGACACCTACTGGAACTGTCAACATGCTGGAAAAAACAAGTCCTAAAGGTATGTATTTATGAGTACACAAAACCGATGAGTTTGCGTTATAAGGATAGGATGGGGAAGTAGATTTGAAAGGAGGAGGGAACGCAAAAGAAGGGGGAAATATCCTCTTTTTGTAAGTCCTATCGTCTGTCTATTAAATATAGGGAACGCGTCGGCAATTGCGGATGTCTATGGATAGCTTTCGCTTCGCTATTTCGGCGAATACAGGTGGCTACTTGCTCGTTTGCCGTGTTATGATATAAAAAAAATTGCATAGATGTATGAATGTTGTAGAGGTGATGTGTAGTAAGACCGCGCTAAATACAAGTCTGCAGTCTCTACCTACGCCTCTAGATTACGGGCGTTATGTTGTGTTTCCGAGAAACTGTTGTTTGACATGTTGTGAGAGAGTTATGTTAAGGCAAACCTCTTAATATCATTTTACTTCTATTTTCTGTTCCATATAAAGTTTTAATTTTTATTACTTTTAGATATGGTAAATGGCTGAATAAATAACCTTATCATATTTATTACTTTTAATTGCTCACTTATTATATGACATAGATTAGATATAAGTATCTAGCATTATGTATTTAGTTGCTAACAAATTCCAAATATTTTAAAAAAAGAATACGAAATTCATTTTACCGCCGATAGATGGCGTTAAAATAAAATCGTTAGAGAAGCTAATTTGGGCGCAACTTTTCCACTATATTTTTTTTATTTTTATTGTTAAATTTTTCTTAATTTTTTCTCATTTAATTTATATTATAACAGCTCAATTTTTTTTTTCAGAAAAAGATACAGAATCGGATTCAAAAGCTGCAAAAGAGAAACCCAAACCGAGTACACCTTGTTTACGGAAATCAAAAACATTAAACCTCACATCATTGAACCCTGGATACACGAGGTTTGGGTTCAAAATGAACACCACCGTGAATCCATTCAGTGTACCCAATAAAGAAGATAAAGCGAACGAGAGTAAACTCCTTCCTTCTAGAACGGGCGCTACAACTTCTAGAAGAGAAGCAGCAAAGCAGACAGTGATGAGAGAGAAATCATTCACAGAACGGAACAGCGCTAAGAGGAATGAAAGCAGAACTTTCATAAAAGGAGTTAGAACAAATAGGAGGTTCCAATTGCAGATGCAAATGAGAAATGTTAACATGAACTAAAAATTTCAGGACAGGAAATAGTGTTTGGTACAATTCAGAATATCAAGTTAGTTATTCACTTATGGTAATGAATCCCCATTGATTTAGAAACCGATAAAATACGACAGTTTATTTTTATTGTCCTCATGGACGATTAGGGGATAAAAGAAGGCTATTTCAAAGTTATTACTTACTATAAACTTGTGCTACTTTTATTACTGTGTGCCATAAACGCAAGTTGTTTAAGGTACAAATTATTATTTCGTACTTTTTAATATTATTTTTAAACAATTTATTAATTAAGAAATGTTTGGATTAACATATAAGCTAATACTGACAATATTTAATCCCCGGTATTAATAAAATTTAAAAGTATGGTCATCAGCTCACAATACATCCCCACTGAGAAGCTCAGACAATATCCTAAGGGTCCGTGCAAACGGGCCACCGACAACCAGTTCACACGATTTTTTATACATTTTATGATGGCCAACGGTGACTGTGGTCGGTAGCCCGTCTGCGCCGAGCCTAAGTTAGGAGTGACTAGGCTATAGTCAACCACGCTGGTCCAGATTGACTTGGTGAAAAGTATGGTAAATGCTTACAAATTTTGATGCTACCTTTTAGTATAGGACAAGTATGTATTGTTTTAACAAATGATTAAACTGTTTTTGTATACGTTGTTTTATTTTATGTATTAACTAGATGTCGCCTACGTCCGCGCGGGGTGAAAAAAACTTAATTAGTGTGTTTTTTTCCAGACTACGCTCTACATCTATGGCAAATTTTTGTGAGATCCGTTAAGCCGTTCTGGATATATCTTCAAATATACATCCATCTATCCAAACATTCGCATTTATAATATTAGTAAGATTCCAATTTTGCTATAATGTTGGCAATAAAATCGGAAGTTTACGTAAGACGGAAATGAACGAAATTAAATATAATTCACTACACTAGTATATTCATTTAAAATATTCGCAATTGAAAACAATACTGCAATAACTAATGCTCTAAACAAATGTAACTTGCACTCGCAATAAGAGAAAGTTTGACCGCCAAAAAGTCAAGGCTTTCACGAAACGACCTTGAGCGGTACACGAAACTGCTTCCACGTTTAAGTATCGGTTTTCCGGTAGTTCATTGTCTAGTAACAACTTAGCGCAAAATGCACATGGCTTAGTAAACATAAAACAACACTAAAGTGAGTTTCCACTACGGTAACTTTTCAAAAATAATCTTACAAATATAAATGCGAATGTTTACATGGATGTTTCCAGACCAGCTAAACGGATCTCTCTGAAATGTGGCATAAATGTAGAACATAATATAGGCTACTTCTTAAGTTTTCTTAATTCCGCGCGGACGTAATAGCGGGTGTCAGAATTATTATATTTAAAACGTCTTTTAACTCGTTTAAAGTAAAAACAACCTGTAAGACAAACAATACCTTTATTAAATGCAACCTCTATCACCTTTTGCTTCTAAAACAAATTATTTGCAGTCCTCATATCACGGAAATATGACGTCGCGGAAAATATTTAAACAAGGTCTTATTTGCTTGTTGTATTTCCTCGAGCAGTGTTATAATTAAAAACATCAGGACGAATTACGCTTACCTAAAAGCTTTAGTAACATCATTCCGTAGTGAAATGGTTGAAATTAGGTTGCTCAACTTAAGGATAATGATCGACTAGATACTTTCACATTCTAGTTAGCCAAAAGAACTTTTCTAAATCCTCACTTGATGGATTTTATTTGTCAGTTATTTATAGCTATTTACAGGAGAAAATACAATACTGCTTTTGTTTTGAATGTTAAAATGTTTTTTAGTTAGTTGTAAGTAGCGTGATAAATTATTATTTTATAGGTAAATAAATTCACAATACAAACGGACCTTTTTTGCGGGCGATAGCGATACGTGACTATAATATTAAAATCGATATTCAGTCGAGTGGCGGCCAATTGATAGCCGAATATGTTAGACATATTGACTTTGTATAGAATACAGTACACCGTATGAAAAAAATAGTTATCAAATATTGCAAATGGGAAAGTTTGTATGCTTATTTGAAGTCTCCAGAACGGCTGCATCTTGTTGAAATTTGATAGATAGCATAGTCTGGAATCTGGAAAAATAAATAGTTTACCGAGTTTTTTTTCAAATTCTGCGCGGACGAAGTTGCGGGCAAAACTTAAAACCATTATAAAGCATGTTTAAATAATTAAAGTCATTTAAGACCACAATTCGTGTGATTTTAAGTTAAATATTAATATAATGTAAAAGTTCTGAAAATAATCAAATATTTATTTGATTATTTTCAGAACTCGTAACTTTTTTCAATTAAAGGTCAGTTCATTCTTTGCAGCAATCGTTACAAGTTGGTGAGTTGGACCAAACAGTTGCCAGGCTATTGTCGACTGCGCGGGCGCTAGGTCTTACGTTTAACAAACGGGGGTAAAGGAAACTGCTAAATTGGCTACAATCATATTTATTTATATCTCAACATAGAAGCGCAGCATGGTAATGACACTCCGGACAATTTCCTTCGTACAATACTTAAATATCATTTAACATAATTCTTCGAACATCACTGAAATAGTGTCCTTTTCTTCAACGTTTTAAATCACTTAACTTAAATACATTAGTAAAGTAAACTATTTAATAATGTGGTCATAGACAATATAAAGATTTAACCTTCGCAAAAGATTTGGAAGCCGATACAAAATGGCTTCATTAAATCGAAATACACAACGTGAAATGTTACCAGTACCCGTATCGGTTGGCAGTTTTTAGCAAAACTTTCACTTCAATAACAAAGCAATTGCGATGGCACTAAATGTGCAAAAATTTATTATAAAAATAGTAAATCTATTGTTTACAATAGCGGCGTAGTACCCGTAGTGGTAGATTTCATAGAATAACCGTACGTTAAAGCGCAAAATTAAAAAAAAAATCTTTTTTGACCACTTTATTAAATAATTACACTGCCGTCTTGTGCTCAAAAACAATATCACATTTAGAACTTTAACAAATGTTTTGAGTTGTACTATTTATTTTTCTATAAGAAATTTTAAAGTTAACTCAAAGAAAATAAATATCTCACTCTAATGAAAATGCTGATGATAAGCTCGCGTACTAACTTTTAATTTTTCTAAGAGAAGTAGTGTGGTTGAGAATGTAGCACCTACGGCTATACAACACGAAAAAGTTATGTCACACGTAATCATAAGTTTCCAGTGCCTATCACGGAAATAAAAACTTATTGTCATCCCGTTCATTGTCTTTTAAAAAAAGCACAGATAATAATTTGTTTTATAGAGATTTCGAAGCGGAAACTTGCGGTAAACGATACAACAACTAAGAAAATAATTAAATGTCACAAACAATTAATAACTAAACTTTATTTAGGCAAACAAAATAACGCACAAACACATTTAGTCTGGATTTAATGGAAATTCTTTGCAATTCACAAAATAAAAAATCTACAACCTCAAAACATTACTTTTAATAACGAAAACTTGTTAAAGTAGTAACAACAAAAATCTATCAAAATACATATGCTTAATTTTCGAATTACTCAATACGTATGACGTAAAAAAAGCGCGGCAAAGTTATAAACATCGTCAGACTACACACGGAGAAAATCATTATCTTACGACTCATGTTACTTATACATAAATGCCCCGGGAATTGGAAATAGAATATTCCGGTTTGCAATTTAACGTACAATATAATGGAAACCTTATTTTGTACTATACATAATTACAGCGAAAAGTGTTAACTACAAGGAATTTTATTCACATTACATCGATTTATAATTTAAATATTTTATCTGAATCGATTCTAAGCAATTCGATTGTATTCTACGAAAGAGTGAGTCTAATTTTTACTAAAAATTGAGTCACATAAAATGTAACAAAAAATATATGTAAACTAAACATTATTGTAGTTTTTATCAATTTTAATTGACCTTATACATACGAACTGTTATTACAGTGTTTTTAAATTATTTTTTTATTTGCTACTCTATTCTAGATTTGCAAGTTTTTTTTTTGGCCTTTTACACAGAAAAATATAATAGTTTTCCAAGCAGTTCCTATGTTTAACTTTATTTAATTTAACTGTACATTCAAGTTAAAAATAGTGAAATCAATGGATTTTTAAATTAAATATAAACAGTACAATAGATATGTTATATTTAAAAATTTATTACGAAAAATATTTTACTGTTTAAATGTATTATAACAAAATAATCTTACACAATTCTCTCACTATATTACAATTAGTTAAATTAATACATTTACTCGATCACCAAAACAGAAAGTAAGAAAAAATCTTATTTATTTTTAAGAGAAAACACTAATTTAAAATTAACACGCCATGTCCCCACAAATCAACAATATCAAACAACACAAATAAAATGTGAATTATCAACACTTATTGGCTACGGGGAACAGGAGCAAATTGTTTTTATTTACAAAGAATTTATTATTTTACAAGATAATACAAAAACTTTTATTTTAATAGTATAATATGCACATTTTAAAAGTACATCTGATGACATTTATACATAAACGAATTTGAGCGGAATTTCTCAAGGAATATTTTTATAACACAGATAAATAAAAAACGGTTATTCCGTTCAATATTTGAATTGATCTTTGCCTTGCATTTATTGGAAACGACTCTACTTTTACTCAAACTTACTGGCTGTTTAAAATGGTCACTAATTTAATGATTAAAATTAGTAACTGAACGAGGAGAAAAATAAATATTTAATACGACGTTAGTATTAAATATTTATTCTTTCAAACGCATTTTTTACGAAACATTTTGGTCATATGTGCTATTTTTTGTACCAAAAGTACGGGACTACGTTATGAATTACAATAATATGTATTTCTATTCTACTTTTGATTTTTTTCTAAGATTTAAGTAAATCTATAGGATGCCGCCAATTTTTGTCATAATTTAATGTTTAAAATGTTCTAAGCTTTTGCTTTTTTTTCCTAAATACGCCAGTTCTTTATACAACAAGATCACTTCACACACGTCCTTAATGAAGATTTTTCATGCTAAATCTACACTAAGGGACAACCTTTGCGACCATTAAATGACCCAGAATGAGACAAATTTACATACGAAATTTTTACAAAAGTTGATAGATATACATTACAGCACATTAAAGTTTACATCACACAATAGATTTATGTTTGGTCACGATATATCAAAGATTTTTAATACCAAAACCTATTTATTTGCATTTGCTTACATAATTTTTCCGTGGATAAATTTTGACTATACGACATTTAAAAAAGTATGACTGGCTCTATAGCCTCCAGGTTAGTGCCCACAATTAAAAAAAATATTGTCTAATCTTAATGAGCGTCAATATATAAAAAAATTAATGAAAATATAACAAACAATGAAATTTGGCCTTTTAATCCTTGAAATATATAAATATACTTACTATGTAAAAATGACTATTATAATAGAAATAGAGATGGGAAGAAGTAATTTTAGTTTTACGCACGATGTACAATGCCCACTGCAATCTAAGCCATTGACGTCATCTGGCAAAAATATATACCATAGATAAAATAAACTCATAATGCATTAAACATGGCGCGGACTTGACTGATTCAAAATGGCCTCCATATTACAGATCGACT